ATGAGAGCTATGTCCTTTTTATTCACGGTTAACTCAGATATCTGCCCTAAGTGAAGGCTTGCTACTCCGTTGTTGCATAACTGGCAAAACTGCAAAGCTAATTTATGTTCACTCCCACATTGTTCCCTGCAGATCTCACCAAGGCTACTGTTGTACTCTGCACCTAATTTAGCACTGGTCTGCTCCCAGCACTGACACATTGGGAGTTATTTACGGTGAGAGTGAACAATGTGAGACTCAGGAAGGAGGAAAAATAATCCAGAACCTCTCAGTCTTGTCAAGTCGAACTTGTAGAGCATGGTCTCACAGAGAAAATATTCAAACAGTGATCAAACTACTAGAAAATGATGCACATAGTAAACGGTTTAGGGAAAAATCTCTTTAAACTAGTTACAGTTCATTTATATATTTATTTTACTTGTCTTTAGAAAAGAGGCAGTTATTTATTGAAATCAGGCTTCATTATTGGCAGCCCTTTCTCTTCATCTACATCTCCCCATTGTTGTGTCTTACAACTGATCTCTTTGTGTTTATTTCTAACTTTAACACCAACATGTCATTCAGCTGCATTGTACGAAAACTTAATTTAAGTGTCAAAATACAATATTTTATTTGACAATAAAGCTCTTTGAGTTCATACTTTTCTATTGCAGTGGGAACTACCAGAGAAGGTGTTTTGTAATCCGTGGCCACTCAAGGTGTACAGATAACTCCAACATGCTATAGTTGCAAGATGCAACTTACAGAACTTAGGGGGTTTAGGATCAGGGTTTGGGTTATGATTGTGGTTATGGTTATAGGGCTATAGTTAGGGTTATTTTTTGATGTGTCATGGGAAGATGTTTCCACGTCGCAAAACTGTGACATCACTATAGTGTGACTGGTCACTTGCATTGTTGAGTCTGGACTAATATTAGTGTTGTTGATCCAGGAATGGCACCAACATGGCAATATCAGATCGAGCAACAAGTTGTATCCACAAACTCTGACTGCAACATGCAAGTCACATTCTGTGTTAGATCCTTCCATTAAAAACACCACAGACAGGGTGGGGAGGTCCAGTGCACTCATTCTGATTCGTAAACTAAGCAGTTGACTCCTGCAGGTGTCCACCTGCCAGTTAAAACACCCTGAGGAAACTGTCCACGGAGGCTTGTACCCCAGAGATTGCTGCTTAGTGTTGTGTAGATCCAGATGGAATTTATATTTGAAGATGTCTGTGGTCTGACCCACAAGCCCTGGGTAATGGGTGCTGCAAGTAGTGTGGTAAAGGGCCTCTCCACTTTGAACCCCTCATGCCATGCTCCTTCTCATTTTTAATTGCATAGAGTTTGTTTTTGTTTATAATGTTTGTAAAGATGGGTATGGTCTAAACTCTTTGGACTGGTCTGACAGTTTGAAAGGTTATGTATGTTTTGTGTATCAGTTATTACATTGGCATTAGCTGCTTGCAGACCAAAATGTGGCACACGAATCTTTTAGCTTTTAGCAAGAGGTGAGATTTGAGTTTGTGTTGAGGTTAAGTGAGCCGCTAGGCCTCGAGTAATGGTGTGTTTGACAAGTTGCTGTATCTGCAACAGGAAACCGCCTGGCCTTGACAAAGGGTTTTGTCCAATTGGAGGATAACACGGAGGAAGTGGATGTATGGGAAAGCCAGGTCACAGTAAACTGTTGGTAGAGTTCCTGCAGAGCTACAAAATGTAAAAAATGAATCCCCTCGAGTTCAGTTGCAGCTGAATTTAAAATGCAGGTTTGCTCTTTGGTTTTGCACAGTTGTGCATCGTGCTTTGCTTTTAAGAAAGTATTTCACAAAAAGGGATTGTTTGTAGTGAGAATACACAAAGCAACAGTCTGTTAATTAGTTTCCCTGTTTGTGTTTTCTGTGCATTGGGATGGGCCATAGATGCACATAGTTGGTATCATGTGCGTTCCTGCCACTGGTGTCACACGAGTCAACTCATCTGCAGGTTGAAACTACAGTACTCAGTCCTCCAAACAAATATA